ACCTAAAGCTCAATGAACTGAAAGATAAACACAAAAAGGATTAAAAGCACAAGTTTAACTAAAAAACATAACCAAATCATAAGCTAGAAGGGTACAAAATGATATACAATTATGAACCGATCATGTTCCTACCGATATTTACTGTTATCCCAGCAAACCCAGCCGTCAATTACCTTTTCAATCCCATATCACATGTGAACGCCATTTTCCTGAAAAGTCTATTCCTAAGTTATATTACCTGCTTTGCCCTTTTTTCTATACTAAACCATGCATTTTAATATATTCCTATATGATCAGCAGTTAATTACATTCCCCACAAATCCTGTATATAATCCCTACACAAATAGCCAAACCCCAAATTGCGCCTTCTCTTTCTTTCTAATCTTCTAATCTTATATCCAACGTGAAGGCCATTTAATGGACAACAAGTCAGGGCATCTTACTTTTTGAAAGACCTCCTCTTGCCAATCACCCCCAGTTGCATGTCCAGTCTGGGCAGTGGAATCTGTAGATGCTACAAAATATACAGAAACATATGTCAGATATTTGCACATAGACAGTTATGATTGAGAAAAATCATTGCCTGCAGAACCTTGATAAAGAAAAATGGAAAACTATCCTGTCCAAAATAGTTTAAAATGTATGTTTGTAAAATAGAATTAAAAACCTCATTTCATTACATGAGCAGTCTAAGGACACAGTAGAAGCTTCATGAGCTAAAGCGGAACAGGACTATGCAGGGACTAGATTGTAGACAATCCATGGCAACTGTATTTAATAATCAAAGTAGCAAAATAATAAGGCTCCACAAAAAAACTCTTCATCTATAAACCAATTGAAGCAAAATTCATGAATTAAAAACCATATTTTTAAAACCAAAGGGATGAAAGAGACTTCAGATAAGATTTTGCTCCTAGTTTCTGCTTATGAGGAAAAGTTTCACATTTACTTTTTGCCAAAGAAATACAGACGTTTGGAAAAGAGGTAAACAATATGTACGAAAATTTTCTCTAACACCGTAAGTCAAGAAAAAACAAAGATGCAAAACCTGAAGTGAAAGGAAACAAAAGCTTCAGCTTTCATCAGTAAAGTCAAAGATATAAAATCTCCAAGCAACTTTGATTATAAACAAGAAGCACCCGAGTTGAAAGGTAAACTTATGGGACTCAAGGTGGTCTATATGCCTATTTTAGGAGTAGACGCAAAACTAGTAACAAGGATATTTGCATAGAATCTATTCTGTTAGTAGGTTTACTATTTCCTTATCCTTGTGGATTATTTCCTTTTCTTTTTCTTTTTGAATAGAAACTTCATAAATTCAAAGAGATAAACAAAGAAACAAGCAAGTGGATAAGGAATTCACAAGGGCAAAACAAAAGAAAACAGCAATCTCAAGACCAAAACAAACAAAGGAAAAGAGGACAAAAGCAAACAAAAAGGCCACCCAGGAAAAAAGAAAAGAGCAACACATCACTTCACAACTGCTACAAATCTCGCATAATAGAAGAGACAGCCAAATCCTTAAAAACAGGAGTAACCGAAGCCCATAAAGCCTATTTCCTATATAACCAGGTCAACTCTATAATTGAGCCCTAGTTCTGCCTATTGATATTGAGAATACAAGAATAAAGCTGAAATTTTTATCTTGAATTTGGTATTTGGCTTCGTTTATCTTTCCTCCAGTGTGCTGCATCCTATATTAGTCAACGCCCTTAATTACTTTCATATAAACTTAAACCACACTGAGCATCTAATTAGCAAACACAATTCACAAAATTTTATGTCCACTAGATATTGCTAATTAACCTTTAAAAAAATGTAAACTTGACATGGCTTATTTTAGCTCTATCTTTTAATATAACTGGACATTTTGCATAGGAAAAGACATCATATGTGGTTTAACAATATAGAGCACACAACCAGGGATAAACGTGTTTGACAGATAAAGGATGATGCACCTATTTAACAGGATTTTATACACTACTCTACTGTGGGTTTGTATTGTGCTTCAGTGATGGTCACAGCAACAATCAGTAAACCATCTAAGTTTGAAACTATAAAAGTATAAAGGTGGAGTGCACCTACTTGGCATAATAGCCGGCACAAACATTCTGTTGACTAAGTCCATTGTGCATCCATGTATATTTTAATAAAAGAAGTCACATACGAGAAGATAACATTCCAAAGTTCGATTATTTTCATGGAGTCTAGACCCATACATCGAGCAGGCATAACAAAATATATTTCTCCAGAAGTCATCCAAAAAAAGTGTAGCACCACAAAAGCAAACATACAAATAAGAAGCCTGCTTGCATCACAAAACCAGCTAAATCTCATAAAAATGACAGTGTTGACCCATAATGCAACCTGATAAAAAGGCCCAAATGAAAAGAAAAATTCTGTCCAAAACATGCATCTATGATAATCTAATCGCAAAAATCATACTTGATGATGTCTCAGGAAGGGGTCTTTGAGATTGATATAACTGATTTTGCTGATCCATTACGTTTTGTGGTTGAAGCATGAACCTGACCTGATGCTTGAATTCTCCAATATACAATCCCTGAATTCACATATGCAAAACCAAAGCTTACAATTCACATACAATCGAAAACTCAATACGATTTTCAACAATCAGAGGTAAAAAAAAACCCAACAATGAATTTACACCAAACCCCTAATCTGTTTCTATCGAAAAGAAGAAAAAAAATCCAACAAAATTGAAAAAAAAATATTATCGTTTCTTTATGAAGATTGAAAAGTCTAGGCAGCTCGACGCGGGAGAATTTGGGAGATGAAAGAAAAATTGCCGAATTCGGAAATTAGGGGAAGAAGGGGGGGCTTTCATGCACAAAGACTCAAAGTGGAGAAAGATTGAATTGATTGATGCGTTGGAACGAAACAACTAAATCCTATTTTAAACGAAGCATCAATATCTGAATTTTTTTTTTAGTGTCTTTTTTTCATATTTCTGATTTTCTTCAGTTTGGTTCGGAATAGTCGTGGGTTTATATATCACATTTTGGGTCGGAGACAACTTTGCATGACTAAAAGGTAGCTAAATCCTTCTTGATTTGCAAGTTTTGGGCTAAGTTCGACCCATGAGAAAAGAGCAACTTTGCCTATGGAACAAGAATATACAATATATAATCTAAAATATAAAATACAAATATAGCGTTCCTACTAGAGTAGGAGCACTAGAAACAGTTTAGAAATTGTTTCTTGCTCTTCTTCTACAAACACTTGAGTTTCTGAAAATTTTCATCACAAATATGTGCATTTTATTTAAGACCAAGTCACGAAATGCGTGAATTCCACATGTCAAGGGAAGACACGATGCCGTTTCAGGTTGGAGGGGGCGGCTGTGGGTGCTGTCCATTGATACTTGGCCTCAAAGGTGAGCATCTTCAAAGAAATTCTCCGTAGGTAATCAGACTGGAAAAGGAGAGAACAAAACTTAGAATACATTGCATGTACTATGGAAGAAAAAAAATTAAATCATTCGGAACCCAAGAGTTATGGAAGTGCCTGGCTTGAGGAAGAATCATAAGTTCGTTCTTCAAACCTTTCAGCAATTCTCCTGAGTTCGTCGATTCCCTCTTGACCACTGACGGGAAGATGCCTCCTTAATGTATTAAGTCTTCACATGTAACACAGTTAGCAAGTTATTGATCATGAAGGCATGGAGGTGGAGTTCTTAACAACATGAATTCAGAGTAAAGAATCACTCCCGAAAGAAAAATATATGTGAGGGATAGATTAAGCACAAAGAATAATCCATCAGCAAACTTCACAGGGGAAAAAACCAAAGAAGAATACAGCAATGGCATTTACTAGTACAGAAAAAAGTACGTTATCTTTTAGCTTCAATATCCGAAGCACGCATTATATGGAGCCAGACCTCAGCAGTCACTAGTCCAGCATCCAAATTAGACCGCAAGGAATAATTTCACTATAAAAACATCTATTCATGCAGAAAGGGTTGTATATTATTCAACCTTGTCAACTTCAATACATCCACATGAATGAACACATGTGGGTTTCATTTCATGTATGTATACGAACATGCATCTGTACAGAGTCTATTTTATGATGTCTTGGTCTGATATATATCCACCATATCTCTCAGAATGTTTTCTTTCAATTAGTGCCTCCAATTTTAAACTCACTGCTAACTTGCCTCTGCATTCAATATTGAGAATTTCAGATTGCCCTTTTATGACAAAACTATGACAAAGCTGTCTCTGATATAAAAGCTACTAGATAGGTATGGTCCATCTTTTACTATTTATCAGCACCTCCATACAAACCCCCTTTTGGCATGAACCAAATAACACACCTCAACTTGACAATGTTAAAGGAACGAAAGAGAGAATAAGATTCGGCCCAAGTGTCATACCAAAACATCTGGTAAGACCAATTCTTTTGCATTCCCAATGCACATATAGGACTCCAGTAATGACCACTGGTGAGTGCACATGTAAGAAGAACCAAATAGCTTCAACTAAAAAGATGAGTACACACTGACGGAATCTCTAATGATTTATGGGATCCATGATTTCTAGCTTTTATTTCTTTTTAAACATACTTACATCTTGTCAACAATTCTTCGCCGTGAATCTGGCAGCAATTGGCTCCTCCAATTGCCTGCGACCACTGGCGGTTCACCACCTTGCAGAAGCCTCTCATTATGGGTATCCATCAAATCTAACCAACAAAACACACCATCAAATAAACAGAAAATTAAATTGCAAACCAGGAAAATGGAAAGTGCAAAACAAGATGCCCAAACCTAAAAGTAGCCAAATTCAGAAACTATGGGTGCTCCACTCTGAAGAGTAACAATTTTTCTTTTGGTCATATAAAGGGTACCATATAAAACGAGGAATAAAACCTAAGAATTAGATCAGTTTGACTGAATTGGATGTCAAAAAAAGAATCTAATGTATAAAAAGTTGGAGTAAACTTGGGGTTATTCTATGAAGTTCCAGACATATTTTGCATGTTAGGATACAGTACTTGGGATAGGAGTCTGGGGTAAACCAGAGGCAGGAGGAATGTTATTTGGAATGTTCTGTGATAATAGTTGTTGGTGTGCTAGAGACTGATTCGCCGACAACTGCATGGATAGTAATTGCCCTTGATAGGGGGCTTGGGGTTGCACACCGAAAGAACCTACTGAAACAAAATAGAAAAGCATAAATACCAAATGAGAAAAATTAATGACAATAATAATTGAAACAACAAAGCACATGCACAAGTGCCAATTCCTCAACAGAGATTGGAACACCAAAGGGAATGGTGTAATGGTGCAACTGGCTTAAAACTGAAGCAACTGAAGCAAGCACACACACACACACACACAAAAGCATGTTAGGGTCATCTAAACATCTCCAAGTAATAACAAGTGTAAAGACAAGAACACAATAAATGCCTTATATGTCCCTCATATTCTTCATCATTTGATCCCATTTCTGAAAGAATATATACAACAAACGAATTACAGACTTGAATGCTTACCAGCCAATATAAATATCAACAATGAATCTTTTTATATAAGAGATGTGGGAAGAAGGAAACCAGCCATCAAGAAGAAAGCTACGTATGAGTAAACATTAGTTCTCCATTTTTAAAAGCATACATGCAGGGAATCAAAAGGGATAGTTGAAAGTGTAAATGAGATCTGTGTAGGTGCATGAAACAAAAGCACATTTTTTGTCAATTTTTTTTCACCCGGATCAGGGGAGCCTGCTTCTTTTACCAGCAGAATTGGATTGTGAAGAATTGGCCATTCTGTGTTGAGACTTTGTCTCCATAGCGAGCATCTTCAGAGAAATTTTCCGGAGATAATCCAACTGGAAAAAAGATGTCCACATAAAACTTAGAATGCATTGATATCCAGTATCCCCGACATAAATAACACAAAAAAGATGATATATATGTAAGAAATTAAATAGTAGCACATATCACATATATACATATCTAAGTAGTATTAGATGTAGCAGGAAAAATAGGACCCCGAGAGTAATGAAAGTACTTGGCTGGTGGCGGCGGTGTAAATCTTTTCCTCAAACCTTACAGCAATTTTCGCGATTTCCTGTAATCCACCTTGACCAGAGAAGGGAAGATGCCTCTTCAATGTATCCGTTCTTCACGTGCAATGCAACACATTTAAGAAAAGTTAATGACCATCAAAGGCACGGAGGTAGAGCACTTCAAAACAAAAGTGAATTCAGGATGAATAGTAAATCAATCCACTAAATTCTTTCACTTTCATTTTTCAAAGAAGCTTACATCTTGTTGATAATTCTTTGCCGTGAATCTGGCTGCAGTTGACTCCTCCAATCCCCTGCATCAATTGGTAGTTCTCCAACTTGAGGGGGCCTCCAATTATCGTTATCCATCAAATCTAACCAACCCAAAACAAAAACTGTTAAACAAAACCCAAAAAAAATATTGAGTAGCAAGTTCGATGAAAAAATTTGTAAAAAAGCTGCTAACTTTGAACGATGATGGTGACTGTAAAGCATAGCTTCTGTCACGAAACTCTCTCCACTACACTATTCCTAGAGTCACATACGCAAAAATCCAAAGAACAAAGCTTGCAATTCACAAATTATCGGAAACCCAGCAAAAATTACGAAAATCTGAGCGATGAATGAAAAACCATAATCGAACAACTTTAACGGAAGTGGCAAGGAAAATTAACCAAAAAAAAAAACAGAGAATAAAATATTACCGTTTTCTTCGAACGGACTGGTTCGACTGGAACTGGAAGTGGAGCAATTCGGACTCAAAGAGAAAAGCTTAAAGTAGGAGAAGACGGGAACTTCAATTGTCAATTGGATAGAAACGGGTTGGGTTGCTTCAGAATTAAGTCTTCTAAACAATGAAATTCTCGTTTCATCTTTTGATTGGTAGCTGAGGAAAAATATTTATCTTTTGTCTTTTTTATCTGGGTAGGCTGACTTGGCTTATTTCCGGTATATGTTTTTTAAAGTGATAGATTTGATTCCCGTTGCCCCTATATCCCTTGTATTTTAAAAAAAAAAAAATTAATCGTGTGTATTAACAGTAATTGAATTCGGATTTCCATTGAAGCTGTTTTCTAAAGTATCCAAAATTAGTAGGAATGATGTTGATGACCTAAAAGTCGTTGACTAATTAATTGAAAATTGTTTTTGGTGTTGTTTTATTTTATTAAAGTGAATGGGCAAGTTTGGAATTTCCGAAATAACAGAAGGGTGTAATGGTGAAAAAAATTGACTCATGATAGGTTGTTTCTCTAGCTATAGCTATAGCCCCCGGAAAATCACACCTTGAATTTCTTAATTAGAACTCAATTCCTTTATTTCGACTTTGATTACGGAGACGTAAACATGTTCATGAATACCAACACCACTCAACTGAGTTATTAACTTATAAATCAAGTGCTAGCATGTGAGGCATTCTAAGCCTTTGATTAAAGGCAAGGCTCAAATTGCGTAACGTCCGACTAAAACTATAAGGCATTTCAATTTTGGTACTTTTGAAAATTATTACTAAAAAATTCCTGAGGTTTGGCTTAATTTTTTCTAGTCAGATTCCACAAGTTTCAAATTAAAAGTTGAACTGGCCAACAATGTAGGAGATATTGATATTGATACATTTGTTTGTTTAGAACATAGAAGTCTTGTTTTGGTACGGATCACTTAGGTTTTTGCTGCAAAGCTTGACATATTGTTGTGCTGAATTGTTGCCACAGAACTTTGTAAGAAGAAAACCAAAAGCTTCAACTAAAAAGAAAACGACTAGTTCACCCTAACGGAGCCTCTGCTAATTCACGGGGTCCATGATTTGTAGTTTTTTTTTTTCCTTAATACAAGAAATATTGGGGAAGGGAGGGTCGAACTTAGAACCTCATATGCATATTTTTAAATGTTTTTAACCACTTGAGCATGCTTACATCTTGTTGACAAGTCCCCGCTGTGAATCTGGCTGCAATTCGCTCCTCCTATTGCCGGCGACTATTGGTGGTTAACCTTGCAGAGGCCTCTCATTATCGATATCCATAAAATCTAACCAACCAAACACACTGTCAAACAAAACAGCAATATTGAATTGCAAGCCAGGAAAATGGAAGCTGCAAAACAAGATGCCCAAACCTAAAAGGAGCACAGCAACTGGCTTACAACTGAAGCAAGTTACTTATGTTTTCTGAAGATAAAAAAAAACACACACACACAAACAAGTTAGGGTCATCTAAACATTTCCAAGTAAAAACAACTGTAAAGACAAGAACACAACAAATGCCCTTTATGTTCATATTTTTAATCATTTGATCCCTTTACCATATACTAACATCGATATTGTCTCCAACTTAACCACCTACATTTAGCACTGTCTAAGAAGTATTAAATGTAGCAGGAAAAATAGAACCCCAAGAAGAGTTCATGGAAGTTCAATATTTTTCTTCAAACCTTACAGCACTTTTCATGAGTTCCTGTCCCACTTGATCGGGGGGAAGAAGTTTTTGAAGTGTATCCATTCTTCACATGCAATGCAACACATTTAATAAAAGTTAATGACCATCAAAGCATGGATAAATAATAAATCAACCCAATAAATTCTTTTACTTTCGTTTGTTTGAAGAAACTTACATCCAGTTGAGAATTCTTTGCCATCCACCTGGCGGCAGTTGACTCCTCCAATCCCCTCCTGCATCAATTGATGGTTCTGCAACTTGAGGAGGCCTCCCATTATTGTTCTCCATCGAATCTAACCAAACCAAAAGAAAAATTGTGAAACAAAACAATAAAAGATTGAATGGCAAGTTCAAATGAAATCCCACCAGAAAAAGGAAAAAAAATGATAACTCGATGGATTATTCATGGTTGCACATGAACTCGACCCATGATGAGTTAACAAATGGACTGAAACGTCTTTACATTTTTAATGGCGACAAACATGGAACTTGGAAAGATGCGCATGCCCACGAGGCCACACTACAGAAGGATTCACACAGCATTTTGCCGCAAGCTAATTGAGAATATTGTTCTGCTGCTGAATTGCTTGCCATAGAAAGAACCTTGTAAGTTGGTGTGGGCTCATTTGATTTTCATGAGACTGACTGCATTTGAGTAATTTGAGATTGTGACTGCTGCATGACTTACGTAGGCTTAGATAAACCAACAAGTAGCTAATTGTGTTTTTCACACCATCCATAATGTTAACATAAAATCAGAACACATATATTTTTAAATTCCTAAATTTGAATGCGGACAGATAACTCAAATTCACAACCTCATGTAAATAATATCTATACAGAAGGACGACTACGTAACAACATTGACATTTACACAACCACTACTCTATGAAATTTCCCACACCAAGGCCACACTACATGGATTAAAGGAATAAAAATGAGCCTAATGTGTTGAAATTTCAATATCCTCAGAGAGGGCCCTAATAACTCAAAATGATTCTTTGTCTAAACAATATCTACCAGTGTCTCATCTATGGTATACCTTTCAACCCTAACTCTAGAACAAGCCAGAAGCACAAGAAATACTAAAGGCATAATTGAAAATTTTATAGGATTATCAACACCCTTGCGGACATGAAACCACTCAAATGTTGCGCAAAACAGTTGATAGAAGGCACCGGCTAGACCATAATAGTCAGCTAAGTTGAAACCGGGTGTGTTATGGGGAGATGGATAATAAGGGATGCGCAGCATTTCCCTCCTCCTCAATACAATTCTGTCCTTGATAACCTTGTCTACAAGCTCCCATATGCAGGTCAGAAAAGCTGCAATAGCAAACAACATACCACCTAATGCATAAAGAGGCTTATTTCGGGAGGATAACTGTTCACAAGCAGCTGACAAAATCTCTAGTACAAAGCTAGCCATTAAAAAGGTCCACTCTGATGAAATGTCCTGCAAAAGAAATCAGTAATAATTTCAAATGAACATTAAAGAATGCTATCGCTTTATATGCTTGCATAAATTCAACTAAACAAGTCTAACCAATGAACAAAAGAAAAGAATAACATCTTATTATACTACAGAGCGTTTGCTGTTCACGGTGGCATGCTCCTAATAAAATATAATTCGGGCTCTGGAAGTGTGATGGAATATAATAAGCCTAAAGAATAAGTAATTAAGCCTTCTACTCCTTGCCAGTGCAAGCTTTTGAGGAATATTGGCCGGTACAGCATATTGACTAGGTTGCTGGAAAACAAAGTTTGCCTGCAGCATACTAACCCCACTCTGTGATGACAAGGCAGTCATGTCCGCTTCTTGGGAAGCACTGACAAGAGTTTGTGGGACAGAGCCCAAAGCAAACTGCTGCAATGAGTTCAGTGCAAATCCTTGTCCTGATTCTATATTGGAACTAGGCTGCAGCAAATGCATCATCCTCTGCTGTGCTGTTGAAACCTCAGATGAAGAAGACATTTGCTGCAAGCTTGTCATATTGTTCTGCTGCATTATTGCCACAGAACCTTGTAAATTCATTGATTGCAACTGTGGGTTCCTTCCATAAAATTGCTGTTGAGTAATTTCAGATAGTGACTGCTGCATGGGCTGGGGTGTGAGGAGTTGCACTTGCTGCAGAGAAGAAACTGGCTTCCCACCTCTATCTACATTAATAAAATTTACTATCTGCTTTTCATATAAAACCAACTTGTCCTTCAAATCAGGTGAAATGCTACTTTTGGAAATCTGTAAGACTGATATGAGGTGCTCCAAATTGGTCTTGGACATTTTCAGTTTGCCAAGCTGCTCTGATTTTGGTTGTTGTGGAAGAGAATCAAACTGGCAAAGAGAAAGAACAATGGAAATGAGTAACCAAGATAACAGCAACATAGGAAGTGACTAGACTTTGTAGCAATTAATTTATGTTATTATCACTGTTGGTGTGGTAACAATCCCATGTAGACAGTCTACATGGCTGCAATAATTAAAAAGGGATCTGTCATGAGGAGGAAGGAACTAGCACAGGCCCTCACCACAATAACCTTGAGCAACAAATTATAAGAAGAAAAAGATGATATCATTACATACCTGCTGAAGTCCAGTAGCAATTTTCTGATGCAGTTCACTTAGTTCGGGTACATATGCCTGCTTCATGAGTTTGATCTGCAAATCAAATTCAGCAAGACTTATTAAAAGAACTTTTTTACATCTACATGCTGGCAGACACTAAAGTAGCTAGCACTACAATTCTTTGATCCTTACTAGCTCCTTATTTAATACATCAGTCAAAGCTTTTGTGTTAAATGCTTTAAAAAACAAAGCCAAACAGAAAAGATCTCATGCATGCAAGCATGCATCCAGAAAGCATGAATTCATCATTCAATGCACTTGAGATTTGATTAATTTTGCAACTGATGATTGATGGCTTAATGAAGTAGCCCAAAGCAATAATAACATAGTATTGGACTAAAGAGTATTTTTGTTCATTTAGCTTCATTTTAATTCTTTGCAAATGTACTGTTGAGATTATATTTGTTCAAGAATCTGAAGATCGTCTTTAGAGAACTTTATTTCTTATGGGATATGAAAAAAAATTTGATTCTCCAGTACTTATATAAACGTTTTTCATCTATTCCTAGCCTATTCCCAATCCAGCAGCTGACAGTCCTGTTAGAATCCGGCAGCTAACCCTGCCTTCCATTGCCTTTTCAAAACAGTGGCTTATATTTCTTTATAATCCTAACCATTTAAAGGACATGGCAGAGAATCTTACCGTTTGATAGACCTCCTCTTGCCAGTCAGCTCCATTTGCATGTCTTGCCGGGGCTGTGGAATCTAGAGTTGGTAATGAGATACAAAATTATAAGTGATAAAATCATACAAACTTTTCTTATGAAGGTAATAATGGAGAAAAAAATTACCTTCAGAACTTTGATCAAGAAAAATGGGAACCAATTCCGTCAAAAATGATCCTGCAAAAAACATGAAGTGTATTTATCAAAAGACCCGCATGAAATGAACAGTATGAGAACACGCTAAAAGCCCAAGTGCTTAAGCAAAACAAGATTATGAATACATAAGAGTGTAGATAGTACAGCCATGGGAAACTATATTTGATAAACAACCATCACATTGAAAGACACTTCTGATAAGATTGTTCTTCTAGTTTCTACTCAGAACATAAGTATCCACAAATTATGTTTTACAAAGAAAACGAAACTTTTACTGTTATACTATCAACAGCTAAACAATAAGTAAAAACGTTTTCTTTCTCAACATCACTCATGAAGAAACGAAGATGCCAAAACTAGAGTAGAAGGAAAAAGAATGAAGTCACAGATATAATGTCTCCAAATAACAACTATGATTCTAAACCTGGAAATGGGAATCATGGTGGTCTAAATACCTATCTTAGACATAAGCGAAAAAGCTAGCAAATTAGGCTAAGTATGTGTTTTTCTCTTTTCTTAGGGTTTAATTACTATTTCCTTATTCTTGTGGGATTATTGTTTCCGATTCTATTTCCTTGCCCTCATGTGAAACCACCGTGATCATCTAATCACCAAACAATGCTCAAAATGTCACCTCCATCATATGTCTCAAATCAACCTAAAAAAAAAAAACAACAACAACCAACAGGGAAATTTCAAAATGATCACAAAATTTGATACTCATTCAATCATCACAAAATTAACTGCCAATGTAGATATCAGAAATGAGTCTCTTCAGATAAGACATGTGAGGAGGAAATAGTAGACCATTTTCAGGCAATTAAGCAATAACAACGAACTACACAACACAGGAAAACGCCCTATTTTTGTTTTGTCAAACCTGCAGCTTTCCATATAAAACACAAATATCACAATCTCTATATGTCAAATAGCATGCAAGCAGGGAGACGATGGCAATAGTATCCTATTGCCATGAGAGTTGGCCTCCATTGTTTGCATCTTCTGACTAATCCTCCGTAGGTAATCTGACTGTAAAAAGAAATCCAAGCTAAACTTAGACTACACCGCTATCCAAAATAAAAAGAAAGCTGAAACACAGACCATGTACATTTTAGAAACTACATATGTAATATATAGGCGCATATCTAAGTACAGTACATGTCATGTATCAAGAAAAATTAGGACCCAAGAGTTATTGAAGTACCTGGCTTGTGGCAGTAATATAAACCTTTTCCTCAAACCTCACAACAATTTTCTTGAGCACCTGTAATCCCTCTTGACCAGTGAAAGGGAGATGCATATTCAATGTCTCCATTCTTTACATGCAACACAATCAATAAAAGTTATTGACCATCATCAAAGCATGGCATGGAGGTACAGTTCTTAACAACAAAACTGAATTCAGGATGAATAATAAATTCACACAAAAGGGTTTATATATCCTTCAAGCTTGATAGCTTTGATATATGCAGTCATTCTGTATGAATACATAAAAGCGCACTCCTGGTTTCATGTAAGTAAACATTTATGTGGCTGTATCAACACATACAAAATTATATTTTTAATAAAAATCCAGTTTTATTTTCTATCCCTCATATATCACAAACTGTATTTACGACTTATGAGCACTTCCATACAAACCCTTGTATGGCATGAACCAGTAACATGCTTCTGGGTTGAAAGTTAAAGAAATGGAACAGAAACTAAAATTTCACTAAGTACACCATCATTTATGACGCCTATGATTACTAGCTTTTCTTTCTTTCTTTAGACATACTTACATCTTGTTGACAATTTTTTGCCTCGTATCTGGCTGCCATTGACTCCTCCAATCGCCTGTGCCTATTGAGGGATCTCCATCTCCAGAAGGGCTCATTGAGGGCAATCCATATCCAAAAGGGCTCATTGAGGGCTCTCCATCTTCATCTTCTGAAGGGCTCTCATCATCATCAGCGTACATCTTGTCTGTGTCCATTGAGGGTTCGCTTGAACCACGTTGAGGAGGCCGAGGCTTCTCATTATCAGTATCCATCAGCTCTAACCAACAGAACACACCACCCTCAAACAAAACTTGAACTATAAAAGATCGGAAACCAGAAATTATCAGTATCCTGCTCCTATATACTAAAGGGTACGATCTAAAACCAGGAACAAATCAAACTAACAATTAGATAATGAAATGAACTAAGCTTAGAGTTCTTACCTTTTGGCAGAGTGAGAAAGGTTTGGCAACTTGAAGATGAAGATCACTCTCTCTTTCTCACTTAAGTTGCAGGAAGTTTCCCTCATTTCACTATCTCGTCGTGCTCAAAAGTCAAATAGAAGACTTGCCGTCGATTTACGCAGACTAGCGTCAGATTCCAAGTTCTATATAATAAACTTTACCAAAACTATATAATTATATAAAAATGTCACGTCATCTGCATATTGTCACTTTCATTTTTCATTTTTGCATATTAGAAAGTATTAAAAATTTAGAAATAAAAAACGTATTATTCAAGCAAGAATTCTTTTTTTGTCAGAAGGTAATGCTTTTTATTCATAATCGCACATAGACATTCACATCTTCAGAAGCGCTCCATACATCCGCTAGAACTTCCACTGCTTTCTTCCTTGGGATCATATGGACGAGGGCCTGTGTCCATTGAGTGCTCGCCATTTTCAGAAGCGCTCTGCTGATCATCATCTCGTGCTTGTAAATTGAGGGTTCTCTTCCATCAGCTCTAATCAACAAAATAACAAAACTTGAATTGCAAAAACTTAAAAAGCAATCAAAGTTAAGATTTTGCACAGCTTAAACCTTCCTTTTCAATTCAAAATTTTAATTTAAGAAATTTCTCCATTGACTAACACTGAAAATTCACCACAATTGAATACAATATCATAAATTTCCGAGCTGCCATACTTCTTAAATATTCGATTATATTTCAGATGTATAGCCGGGCGGCTATACTATTAAAATATTCGCATATATTTTAAACTGTATAGCCGGGCGGCAATACTTTTTAAATATTATATTATATTTCAACAGTATAGCCGGGCGGCTATTCTATTTAAATATTAGAACATATTCAAAAAGTCCAGCCGCTCGGCTATACGATTAAAATATTCGAATATATTTTAAACAGTATAGCCGGACGGCTATACTATTTAAATAGTCAAATATATTTTTAACGGTATAGCCGCACGGCTATACCAAATTTTTTAAAATTTTTTAGTCTAAAAATCAAATAAGTGAGAATGAAACGAATTAGGTTGAGTTTTTATTTCAATCAAGGTTTTTTTCTTTTCTTCTAGTTTTATATCCACCATTTTTTCTTGCGATCCAAAAGTCTACCATTGCCGGTTGAATTAACATCTTCAGCGAGGATGTTAAAAAGCCCTCCACACATCCAATAGAACTTCCACTGCTTGCTTCCTTGTGAATCGTGATCATATTGACGAGGGCCCTGCTCCTGTTGAACCAAAAAAATTCACACCAAAAAAAAGGGTTGTGTTTGTCTAAGCCACGTCCAGTAAGCCTTATCTAATATAGATGATAAGTGTCTATAAAAAAAAAAACAAGTAAAGCCAATTATCCAATAAGCTTTTCAAGTTTCAAAGCCAAAGGATAAAACAATTCAAAGGTGGGTTGATCTCACGTGCAAATCTCCTAAAGGAGTTTAAAAAAAATAGGTTTAGACTACATTGCTATCCAAAATACAAAGAAAGCTGAAACACAGACCATGTTTATTTAAGAAATTACATATGTACAGATCAGTACATATCTAAGTAGAGTTACTTGTCATATACTAAGAAAAATCAGGACCCAAGAGTTATTGAAGTACCTGGCTTGTGGCAGCAGCATAAATCTTTTCCTCAAACCTTACAGCAAATTTCTTGAGCTCCTGTGATCCCTCTTGACCAGAGAAAGGGAGATGCCTCTTCAATGTCTCCATTCTTTACATGCAACACAATCAATAAAATTTATTGACCATCATCAAAGCATGGCATGGAGGTAGAGTTCTTAACAACAAAAGTGAATTCAGGATAAATAATGTAATCCACTAAACTATTTCTTAAGAAGAATAAAAACACTTACATCTTGTTGACAATTCTTTGCCTTGAATTCTGGCGCCAGTTGACTCCTCCAATTGTCTGTGTCCATTGCGGGCTCTCCATATGCAGAAGGGTTCTCCATTAACATCGGCGGATCATCATCAACGATAAATATCTCGTCTGCGTCAATGGAGGGTTCTCCATCTTCAGAGGGTTTCTCATCATCATCATCATCAGCGTACATCTTGTCTGTGTCCATTGAGGGTTCGCTTGAACCACCTTGAGGAGGCCGAGGCTTCTCATTATCAGTATCCATCAGCTCTAACCAACAAAATTAACACACCACCCTCAAACAAAACAAAAAACAAAACTTGAACTGCAAAAGATCGGAAACCAGGAATTATCAGTATCCTGCTCCTATATACTAAAGGGTACGATCTAAAACCAGGAACAAATCAACCTAACAATTAGATAATGAAGAAAAAGTTTACTTTTGGAACTATTAAAAAGTAATAAAACTTTAGAAATAATAAAAAATTTATTCAAGCAAGATTTTTTTTTTTGGTCAGAAGGTAATGCTTTCATTCATAATCGCACATAGACATTAACATCTTAGATGTTAAAAAGCCCACCACACGTCCACTAGAACTTCCACTGCTTGCTTCCTTGGGATCGCATTGACGAGGGCCTGTGTCCATTGAGTGCTCGCCATTTTCAGAAGCGCTCTGCTGATCATCATCTCGTGCTTGTAAATTGAGGGTTCTCTTCCATCAGCTCTAATCAACAAAATAACAAAACTTGAATTGCAAAAACTAAAAATGAAATCAAAGTTAAGATTTTGAACAGCTTAAACCTTCCTTTTCAATTCAAGAAATTTCGAATATATTTCAAACGTCTAGCCGCACGGCAATACTATTTAAATATTAGAACATATTTCAAAGGTATAGCCGGGCGGCTATACGTTTTAAATATTCGATTATATTTCCAACCGTATAGCCGCGCGGCTATACGATTTAAGTATTCAAATATATGTTGAACAGTATAGCCTCGGGGCTATACTGTTTAAATATTCGATTATATTTCAATGGTATAGCCGCACGGCTATACTATTTAAATATTAGAACATATTAAAACGTATAGCCGCTCGGCTATACTGTTTAAATATTTGAATAAATTTAAAGTGTATAGCCGCGCGGTAATACTGTTTAAATATTATAATAAATTTAAAGTGTATAGCCGCTCGGCTATACTAGTCAAATGTTCCAATATATTTTAAAAAGTATATCCGTTCGGCTTTATTATTTAAAAAAAGATTAATTAAGTTAATTTATCATGTAATCTCTCATTTATCTTATATTAATTAATCATATGTGAATTACGTACAACCAAGCTGAAGGCTTTTAATTATAGATATCCCGAATTTAAGATGAAAGTTCAAATGTGCTTAGGTCTTACATATATTAGTCTTCAAATTTAAATGTAACATGGAATATTACATATATATAGTATATAGTCTTCTAACATGGAATTACGTACATCATATGTGTTGTTATTGCTGGTCATGAATCACCTTAGATCTACCAAACAATATATTAATGCACCTTTATTAGACTAAATAGTTTGATTAAGTCATTATGTTGAGTATTAATATACTGCATTATGAACACACACATCATATGCATGTGCCTATGGGTGAAATTGGTTTGATGGAACTTTTGGTTTATGTTTTTTTGGATTATAAAGTATGATTGATTGTGTTAACACGTATTCAGGGATCAATTGGCATGTTGGATTGGAAATGGAGTTTGGAGAGCTCTTTGGTGATGTGTTAACATGTATCTCAACACACATGGACATGTTGGGATGCTGCAATTTGAAAGGACCCACTTATAGACACGATAGTACAACTACAATGTGCCATAAGTTTTTTGAAGATTTCTACATGTTATGTTATGCAAGATCATTTATCGGTTGAGAAATCAAACTGAAAATATAAAGATATATGACATCGATTATCTTATTTTAGCCCTTCAAATAAACGGATGTCATACTTAGAAAATGAAAAGTAAAATGAAAATGTTTTAGGTTTCTAAATCAAAAAATGAAATCAAAGTTAAGATTTTGAACAGCTTAAACCTTCCTTTTCAATTCAAGAAATTTCGAATATATTTCAAACGTCTAGCCGCACGGCAATACTATTTAAATATTAGAACATATTTCAAAGGTATAGCCGGGCGGCTATACGTTTTAAATATTCGATTATATTTCCAACCGTATAGCCGCGCGGCTATACGATTTAAGTATTCAAATATATTTTGAACAGTATAGCCTAGGGCCTATACTGTTTAAATATTCGATTATATTTCAATGGTATAGCCGCACGGCTATACTATTTAAATATTAGAACATATTAAAACGTATAGCCGCGCGGCTATATTGTTTAAATATTTGAATAAATTTAAAGTGTATAGCCGCGCGGTAATACTGTTTAAATATTATAATAAATTTAAAGTGTATAGCCGCTCGGCTATACTAGTCAAATGTTCCAATATATTTTAAAAAGTATATCCGTTCGGCTTTATTATTTAAAAAAAGATTAATTAAGTTAATTTATCATGTAATCTCTCATTTATCTTATATTAATTAATCATATGTGAATTACGTACAACCAAGCTGAAGGCTTTTAATTATAGATATCCCGAATTTAAGATGAAAGTTCAAATGTGCTTAGGTCTTACATATATTAGTCTTCAAATTTAAATGTAACATGGAATATTACATATATATAGTATATAGTCTTCTAACATGGAATTACGTACATCATATGTGTTGTTATTGCTGGTCATGAATCACCTTAGATCTACCAAACAATATATGTTTTAGGTTTCTAAATCAAAATTATAGATGTTTGAAGATCTAATTCAATGTTACCAAAATGATTTGATGGATTTTCTAAAATTAAATTGTAAACTAAACAATAATTAGTTGCCCTCTTATCCCTTATTTTGTTATTACAAACGTTCTAAATCCACTTTTAATTTTGGGAAATGGAAAAGAAAGCAAGTTAAAAGAGTGTATTAATGGAAAATAGTTTTTCTTGGCCAAAATTAATAGAAAATAGTTTAATAAGATATGAATAAGGGGAATGGACCATGATGGTGAGTTTTATTTTGGTTTTGCATGTGATGGACATGTTGGACTTGAAGGAATCGAACTCGCTGCGATGCGGGAAGGTTTGTTAATGGCTTTGTGGAGAGGTTACCAAAATTTTCTTTTGGCTTCTGATTCTCAAGAGGCAGTGTCGCCTGGTACTGGATTTGGCGAATGTTGGAGC